CACCCGGTTTTAGTAAACCCAGAATATACGTCAGATTCAACCTCAGGGGTTGCTGTTTCGTAATCAACTGCTTTAACGGGAAGAGTCCAGTATTCTCTATAGGCTCGAAAATTTTGCTCTGTTTTGACGCTTAGTGTAAAAGGGTAACGTAGTTGAAATGGCGGGTATCTTATCATAGACAATCCCCGCCAGTTAATCCATGCGGGGTGGTCAAAGCGCATTAGATGTGTAAAATCATACAATACATATTAAACATATACGCTTCCTACATAATTAAGTCATTTATCGTGGTCTAAGATTGTATTCTAAGCGCAACGTACTAGTAAAATATGGTCAGCAATTGAGATAGTGTCACCAGCTCTGGTAGGAATACATTATCGCAGCAACAAATCGAGCAAAGTTACTCCTACGAGATGCGTAGATTAAGCCAAAAATAGATAGATCTGGTACCTTAGACGTTTTATACGCTGCTCGGACCGCTAATAAGACATGTTTAGACTCGAACCCGAAGTACGGGAAAAAACTAACCTAACCTAACTAAAGGTAGTTTAATAAATTGAAAGCTTCAAATATAGTTGTTCCGCGAAGCTCAAACTTGCCACCCTACTCAAATCTGTTCTGATAAACAAATTATTGGCCACTTGTGGTATATTTAAGATATCATTGCACATAGCTACACCCGTATCGCGTTTCGGAACACGAACCCGTTTATCCGTAATATCGTATTTGTCAAGCCGGTGTCAGAGAAAAGCGCAGCTGGATGGCGCTCGTATCGAGCGTTCCAGTATTGTACATGATATATATGGCAAAGTAGAGTTCAGAAATGATACCGCACTAAATATTTTACGGATGAGCGTGACGGAGCGGAGCGTCCAGAATGCTCCCACAAATAATATAGATAAATATTCACTAGATGTGTACAAAGCTGCCATTGTACGATATAAACGTATAAATTTGATACCTTAGAACTGTCAAATTGATATGCCCGATCAGAGGGGCTGCTCTTAGCGAAGCCGCCCCAATGCATGGGGCGGCGAGGTGCCCGAGATACGCTATAGCGCATCTGTTACGGACGCTTCTAGCGTCTGGCAAATGAAAACGTAGTGCACCACAAAGGACGTGCTGACCAGTATGCACCGAAAAAATGCGTAAGTGTCGGTTAGGGCTATGAGCTTCCTTTTCAACTTGTGTCGATCACAGGCCGCGTATTATAAAAGTCCGCCATTTTTCTTCGCCATGTGCTTATCGCTTCAGTATAAGCAGAAGCAGCGTCAAGTTTAAAATTTGCGTCTTAAATCCTTTTAAAATAGCGGTATATCAGCGTGTTCAACTACCACCGATGCAGTAACCCCTTAGCATGTTTTAGAGGCGCAGGTCAACTCTCAACGAGTTTTCCAATTGCGCCGATTAAAGATGTTCCCGTACTACCTGGATTCCGTAGGAAGCTACCGAGATTACCTCTATTTCATGCAGGATCGACGTCGTTTGTAAACGAAGTCTAAAGGAAGTTCGCATGCTCACACCCGCCACCGTCGCTCGTCGTATCCTGTCATGATGTGGTCTGTAAAGGCTTCGCACCCAGGTAATTCAAACAGGTCACGCGCTTTAAGGCCGTTCTGCCTATATGGAGCGTGTTTATAGGTGTAAGACAGCTTTCACGACAGAACTTTATGGACTGCGTTTTATCTACGTTGATCGCCACTTCTGCGAATAACGAGAGCCTTACGAGCGCTTGCTGTACATGAAATCGACTTCTTTTTAAGATAACTCAATTGTAGCTATGCCCCTAGGCCTGAGACACGAATAGAGCAGAACACTCGGCCGCAGAGAGAAAAGTAGTGGACTTGTGTGCTACACCAGTAAACTGGGCAAATGCTTCGAACTGGTCCACGTCATCATTTTTTCTATCTAAATTTTCTCGTAGAATCATCCTGATTAGATGCAGCGTGTTCTGAAGGACTCCGGGTTGTGCAAGCTTTACTAAAATGCTGTGTTGGGGCCCAATACTAAATGCAGATTTCAAATCTACAAACACAATTTAGAATAATTGCTTTTATCGACGATCGACATGATGCTGCTCCTGAACAGCTACAAGCATCTTCAAAGGGGCAAATCATCATTCACAATCGTGGTAGTCTGGTTAGCGTTACGTGTCGTGTAGTATAAATGAGAAGGCAAATCGATAATCGATTTAGGGATGTTTTTTCCAGGAGTTTTTACTGGTTTGTAGGAGGCTTTCTCTTTTATTAAATGCCGCATGGCCATGAAGATGCAACTCTCTTATTAATATCATGCATTACTACGTAACCGAGAGGGCAGCAAATTTTTACAAGCAAGAAATTACGCAATCAATTGCGTGAACTAAGCACAGAGAAAATGTTCTAATTTTTAGTAAAAATTTCTTCGTATCGTATAGACGGCCCGAAACACATGAGCATTTATGACTACTAATGATAACCACGTAACAATTCAAAATTTCAAAGCCATTGTACGGAGTTTTCACATAGGTTTAAGCAGTTTAGGGTGTATGTGTATTTGTTCAACGCTGCATGTACTATACAAATCATAGTAGTCGGGTTTTGGGTCATGCCAACATTGATACCCGAATGGGCTTTGTGACATCTTCTAGCAACGCCAAAAGCATTAGTAAAAAACAATCTATCGGGCCTAAAAACTAAACTCTCTCCTCACTTCTTTTTAATAATACAAGAAATATTGTACGTTAATATCTACTTAGGTGCGTTGGCGTCGTACGGTAGCAAAGACATGACTTTTCATTCTTTTATTGTCGCCCGGACTCTGCCCTAAGAAGCTTCTCAATAGAGATCTCATTGTATAGCATCTTACTGGTTATTACTCGTACTAATACATTCCGCATATAGCTACTTTTAAGAAAGTCTTGTTTCCGACGTAATAATCGAGATCTTCCTAGGTATATGATATACAAGGTAAATTGGAATAGATGTATGTCCCTTATTAGTAAGGTTCATCCAAGTGAAAACTATTTAGACGAATTTTTTTCCATTTGAAAAATTCTAGCTGACTTATATTTTGCGCTGACAGTACGCCAGGGGTTCAAAAAGTTCAAGGACCCCAAAAAGGGCTGAAAGGACACAAAAAATGGAAAAACTAGTTCCATAGTTGGCTCTATAGGCGATAAATAATTTTTGATGAAATGATCTTTTATTTTTGCGTAAAAATTATGGAATCATCATGTATTGCTTCCTGTGCCAATTTTGATGAAGTTTTGACTTTTTTGGTCCACTTCGAATTGTGCATTTTCCACCGCGGCTCATGAGAATCTTTTCTGGGCTCTTTGGAAGCCCTATAATGACCAACGACCGTGTAGCTTTACAATCTCCAATGAAGTTTCGTCGGGCGTAAAAAATGGACAACGGTTAATCTTCATCTGAAAACCAGCCTCTCGCCTTCGGCATGGCGAGTTTATGGCTGCCTTCCTATAGAAGGAATAGTAAATGAAAGCATGTCCGCCAGGAGAAGCAGCCCCTGAAATGTATTCCAATTTACCCTGAACGCTCTGTATGTATTCTAGTCCTTGTCGCTCCGTGCGTACGTTTGTCGGTGCAAAGATAGCGTGTTGTGCCACATTCTTGTTGTTCAAATATACGTTGGAACCGGGAAGGGGTGATTGTGCCTACTTTCGACTGCTTGAGGGGCGGAGAATGTCGAATTGTATATGCTGTGTTGAGGGTTGATGTGTGTCTGAGGCATCGAATACCTCAGCAGCGGTCTGAAGAATGAACGACTCGTCAGAATCGGTCCTAAACAGTTCGACAACGGTGGTGGCGGTGGGACAACAGCAGAAGCTGTAGTTGTAAGACTTTGCCACTAAGCAAACACTATCAGAGCCACAGCGGCAGCAGCAGCAGCAGCAATGATACTTTGGCTGACTAACTCGCGACCCAAAGATATCCGCTACATCGATGTTGCCCTCCCTCTCCCACAGCCGTGTCGTGCCTTGCCTGCGGTGATGTTCTGTTATCGACAGTCGATAATTTGTTACCAACGGCCATCATCAGCACCGCAGCCATCGACGCCGCCGTGGCAGCAGCAGTGCCCTTAGGCTCCCGTTACTGTTACTATTGCCTCCTGCTACCGTAAACACTGTCGCCGTTGCTACAGTTACAATGCACACGTTCGGCGTGCGATTGCGAGATTGAAAACCGCAAATACACACACACACACACACACAAAAACACAGAGTCACACACGAGCACGCATAGATAAACAGTCTGATCAAAAGACAAACAGATGCCAGCAGGCACAGAGCATGAGGGACCGTAGCAGCAGGCCACAGTAAATACAACGACTGCATTTTTCTCGCTGATTTGTTTGCCTACTAACCAACTACTTTTTCTATCTATTCGGCTCTGCTATATCCAACAGCTGCTGCTACTATCGCTGCGACATCGAAAAAGGTCACTAGTGATTTTTTTATTTCGTCAAGATCATGCACGGTCGGAGTGCCAGGCCTTGTTAGTGATTGCGGCCTGGCAATGTCGTATTACGTATGCGTCGTAACTAACGTCTCTGGCGACGATTTTTTTCGTGTCAATGAAACAAATAAAAGCGCCGAGAAGATATCAAAAGGCAATAATAAACGTAATTATCGAGTATATTTGAGGGCGTTATATATTTAGCTAAAGGCTTTCGTTGATACAACTGATCGATCGATGATCCCACCTACATGCAATATATAGACAGCCATGCCTAAGCTTTACACAATGGCACCTGTTGGCATTCATAGCATTTATAGCAATGAGACTGCAGACTCGCACTCTAGAGCCTATTAAAAGGCGAAAAGCAATCGGCAGATCAAAATGGCCTCCCATACACATGCGTGCAACGGCCGTACAGTCGCCATCTTTGTTCGAAATTCATTAACAGGAACAATGTTTGATTGGCGTAAATTCAACATAGCCCTATGTAGGATTTGAAAAATCACCACTAACTAGCGCTCATTCAATAAATGCAAATCATCCGTGCGTACATTTTTCTATGTTTATTAGTTTCGACAGATACCGGTCGATCCGTAAACGAAATTCTGTGCCGCCGTCAACTTCATTCTCGTTTCCATTTTTTTTTTTTTCTTTTTTTTTATTAGTGTCTATTGTTGTTAAATATTTACATCATTAAGGCTACTAGATAATTTTTAATCTCAAAAATATATAATAGATACCACAGTAAAACTGACATTTCGATTTGGTATAATCATAATGGTATTCATATAGCAGCTTATTGTTTCGAAACGAACGAGCGACAAGACTTTGTCCTGAGCAGATATGAGTTACGTATGTACATTACACCATGTCTGTACAAATTATGCAAACAATGGAAGGTAACAGCAAGGATGACCTAGACGATCACTTGTACAATGCATGCTAGTGACGAGCGAACTCATTGGTATGTGGAGGAATACTCATTTATCTACTTCATCTTCTAAAATGATCTTAATCATGGCCCAAAGCCAGAGGTATCCTCATGAATCACCTCGCCATCACCTCGAGATCGTCGAAATGCATTCGTTATCGATTGGTTTGCTAGCTAGTCAGAAGTAACACAGGCACTTCCACGTTTCAAATGCGCAGTAGGTATCGATTGACTTGCGTGCTTTTTTGAGGGGCAATAATTTCCTAGAGGCTATTAAACGATTGTGCAGTTATCTCAACCCTGAGCCTGAAGGCTTGATACCATACGCGCAAGAGGGGACAACAGATTTTTAGGCGCATTCTTGCCAGGCTTAATTGGAGGCGAGGTTTTGGTGCAATTAGCAGTAGGGAAAGCTGCGCACACGGTATCTAGAAGGTCGCCAGAGTAGCCTTGAATGAGGTTGTCGACGAACTTCGCCGTGTCTGCACCACAAGGCGTCTTAACCGAGTCGATCATACATGCGTGCATGCTAGCAAACGAACAACAGGATTCCTTGAGTTGCTTCTTTTGGTCAGCCTTGCCTCCAGCCGCCGTTTGGGCCGCTGCTTTTGCGATGGTTTGGTCGAGAACAGCAACGAGGCTAGACATACATCCGTGCAGCTGCACGCCATTCTCATTGAGGCACTTGGCGTGTTTCAAGTATTCCTTGTGCTTCGACTGGCCCTCCTTACACTTGCCACTGACTTCGGTCTTGACCCCGTCAAGGAACAGGGTCACCATTCCCTTGGGCAGACGGGGCAGGCAGCGATTGGTGTAATCCCGGGCGCATTTTTCTGACGCCTGTTCTTTCGGACACGCACTCTTAAGTTCGGCAGCCGTTGTGGCTATTTTTGGCCCGGACGCAAAGATGATCAACTCGGAGCCGCATTTCTCCAGACCGTCTTGAGTGCATTTCGTATCAGCTGTTGGACCTGCGTGCACTGACGATGCGAAACTTACCAGCAGCACAGCCAGCGCTGGCAACAATGTCTTAAACAGAAGCATGTCGATCGCAGAATAGATTTGACGGGCCCAGGGCTCGGCCCTTTATCAATGATCGCGTCCCCCGCGAACAAGCAGCCTGATCGATCAAGCTGTCCCAGCGCCGTCTAGCGGAGAAGGTGTGAGCAAACCCCGACAAAATAAATGTCGTGATCCGCAAAAGTCACAGAGATAACAGTTTGTGTTAACGTATTGCTTCTCTGCCTAATAGACAGCAATGTCAATTGATGAAGTCGCTGAATCGCACCTCATTATTAGTTAGGCTAGGGTTTCGTGTGGGGCCTTGCTCAGACATGGTTGTATACGTACCAAGACTGAACGGATGCTTTCGTTCTACCAATGTGTATGAACTCAGTAAAGTTGTCGCCGGTCGGCAGCTGTGCCCATCGGAGCAATGAATATGTACTGCGACCTTGCGTAAATCCGAACACTTTCTAATAGAATTTAAAATCTGTATGGAACAAATTGCTCGCTTTTGCAAATCTGTGACCTAAAGACGGCATTACTATTAGGGGCACTATACATTAGAAATATGGTATTACTAAATGGAGGGGTCATGTAACGGATATATATGCTCTACAAAGCAAAGGTAGGGCTCGCTCTCAATGTGCTGTAGTGTAGGACGTGCCTCAGGCTTTTTGTACCCACGGTAATAAAATGCAGCATTGCCTATTAAAATGTCGTTTATGAATAAGTGCAGAAGCTCATGCGGCTATTTATGAATTATCATGTAATGGAAGTATTTAACCTTGTCCTGCATTGGAAACGGCCTACAGTGCAAGCGTGTATGACTTCCTATCGGATCTTCGATGATCAGCTAGATAATGTGGCACGCTATAGGGCTGCATTGAAAAAAAGTGTTTAGCACCGTTCAGTCAGTTGCATAAATCAGATATTGGCTGCTTCCAAAACAACAGCTGGAAATATCGAAGCCGGACTACCTTTACCAGTACGTCAGCTTATCGTGCTTTGCTGTTGCATTATAAAGTAGTACAAGCGTGGTCACGTGCATCATTTCGCGCCAAAGTTCAACTTTATCCGTTGATGGCGGCATCACGGATCTCCTATTTTGGTATTAAGGATTACGATATTCTGAGCCAGCCGCTGATATCAGGCGTCATATAATATATAACAGGTCGAGTCGTTTCGATCGATGATTTATTACAGCAGAAACGAAAAAATAACAAATGTATTTGAGCTTTGTATGTGCGAATCAGCAGTCGGGACGTACCTTTGCTAAGTTGTGACAACATCTAATTTCTGCGTATTTATATTCATTCCTGGTAATCAGTGCGGCTAGGTTTGCCTAAGGCAGTCATTTCTGTACAACTTCTGGAAAATATTGTTGTTTAAAATAGCAGGCCGGCAGAAATCGGTTTATTGTCAACGAGCGTTGAATTTCGCGCCAAACAATAGTAGATCAAATAGTAGCATGTATTAATAATTATTCTTAAAGAAAATAGTACGAAGTATCGGCCCTGAGATATTCATTTAGTACAATGGATAGAGGAGCGTGATCGAAAACATATATTTCGCTTATATATTACAGATATTTTAGCTTTTTAGGTAAGTTATTTATTCTTAAACTGCTCGAAACACATGTCGGATCATGGGGAACCGACATCGCCCAGATGAGAGTCTGCAGTACAAAGTTCTCTTCTTGAGAGTATCTTCTAAACCAATATGATCCAATATGCCCCCGTAGAAAATTTGTGATCCAACGGCTAAGGTTTCAGCTAGCGAGCTCATTTCCTGCAAGCGATCGTCTATAGAGCCTTTAATACGGAGAGAATGACCACTGCCTAAATAAACAAGTTCATTGACCCAGTGGTAACTTAATCACGTCCTATTGTAGGGCGCGCCGTTATTAAAGTGGGTATCGTGTGGCTGCGCGAGATTCTATGGTCTCCAACGCTTGACGGGCATACTCTTAGTTTTTCATGGCACGACCATGCCTTTTTTATTGCGTCTTGCGCTCTGGATTGATTAATTGCTGCTTTCGGAAATGATAACAAGACGTTTCCTGTTATCGAACAACATAGAATTAGCTCGGTAACCTCTTTATTATTATCTTCATTATAAATGCATACATTATACATGAGCGTTCACGTGGTCCATCTCATTGTGTGCAAAACAATTTCGTACGAGCCGTCCCTAAATACTAATTCATTTTTACTCCTTAACTTCGATTCGCATCTTGACCTATTTCCAGTTTCTTTGCAGTTCTTTGTACATTTTTTCGCGTTTTACGTGCGGTGTTCAGGACACTGCTTCAGTTGGCTAGCTTTCAGAACAAGTGTGTCTACGTTCGGATTTGAACCTAAACCACCACGTATCACCAAGTTTAGCGGGTAAACATGCGCTATTGCGGGGACATACTTTATATGCAACATTTTCCATCATCAAAATTTACGAGAGCTGCCTGCGCACTATGCGATTGTGCTACGGTAGTGAGAAGCAGAGTCAGTTCATCAGAGAAGAACGCTGAACGTGCCTTTTCTTCCGTATTTTTTGTCCACGAACTATCCGGGGACCTTATGCGTCTGAAACGTACCTATTTTGAAATATTTCATCTAAATGCATTGCGATCGTTTATTAGATAAGATAAAGTCTCACCATATCAGCTGATTGCGTCTCGAATGAGGCGAACTATATGATACGACAGGAAATGACGTTGCCTTAACACTCAATAGCTAATCAATTGCGCGTCTTCGAGCTTATCTGGCGCTCGCACCATCTGCCACATTTATAAGTCATCCACTGAAATAATTTCATCCTATTCCATTTTGTATTTTCGGTGAACCATTCTTTGGTTTCGAATCCTAGATTCCCTAAAGGCGAACCGCACAAAGGGGCCATGTGCCCGACGCGATGCCCCAGTTCAACGCCCATATCTGCACCCAGACGTCGTAAAATATACACACATAAAAACCCTCACGTCCGCGCATGATTTTTTATTCTGTTTCCTCGATATTTCTACGTGTCCATGTATAATGGACGTTGTTGCTGGTGCCAGTGCTGCTTCAAAAGAGAAAAGCAGGCTAGGGGTTATAGGTGAGTGACGGTACCGAGCTATTTCACCGGTAGGCCTTATAGAAACAACTATAATCGACGAACGAAAAGAGAAACCACAAAACAGACAATGACGACGCCCTCCTCTGGGCACCGCTTTAAGGCATTGTCTTATTTTATCCTTACGTCAAAGTGATGAGAATCGAATTAGCTAGGTAGGCGTACGTCTATTTGGCGAACTGTTGAACTATCAAATTGCGCCATCTACAAACATCAGAACGCCCATATGCGACTTTCGAATGATGTTGAGTAAATGGATATTCAAGTTGTTTTTTTTTTTCGGACCTCATTCTTTCTTTTACGAGCTTGACCTTTTTTAGGGGGCCATTTATTTGTAAGACGTTCCTCTGATCGAACCGCACGAATTGGTACAGAATTTTATAACCAAAAACGTTTAATGTATGTATTAGTAAGTTCCACTGCCTCGACTGAACCACTGCACGAAATTACGCTGAAAACATTGAAAACAGCGTGTATTCGCACGGACGGGTATCTACCACGAGTTAAGCATCGAAATCTGAGCAAGCTTTGTTGAGCACCTCCGATAAGCCTTTGACTGGGTGCCTTATATTATAAGAATCAAGCCATTTTGTCCTTATAACACCATTCTGCCTTGTCGTGCACGGTCTACCCTAATGGTGTAGAGACCTCACATACAGACACATACACGCCCAGCTACGCACGCATAGTACAGTGGGAAGGAAAGTAGGTCTATATGCACAGTCGGGAACATCGTCGTTCTGTAATGCAACACGACCAAAAAAAGGAGAGCCAAAAGGATTTTTGGACAGACGTAATCAAAACCCTTTCCCGTTTTATTTGTCCTATCTGGGCAATCGCTCTTCCTTTCACTTCATTTCCAGCTCGCCCTCGCGTCAACGGACATTCGCTCCATGCAGAAGGACAGACGACAATAGCAAAGCCGATCGTGGAGGAAAAGCGCAAAAATCGGTAAAAAAACGGGTGCGAACACAAGTATGCCGTCAACGATGGCAACAACAATAACGAGTCAGAAGCAGCAGCAGCGGAAGGGACAAAGTAAGTACTTTTTTCGCGCACGCTCAAATGGGCTGTGGTGATGGGTTATAGCGCCAGGACAAAGAGCGGGGACGGTTATCCGGCGGGAAAGAGCAAAAGGGGCAAATATCATGAGAAACCTTTGTTTCTTTTTCAGTATGGTAGAGAAATGGAGGCGTTCGTCGGACAGCAATGCATCGCTCACATCACTCGAGAAAAAAAACAAACGACTAGAACGAGTTCAGCGTGTTCTTTAACAAAAGAAAACTACGAGCTGACGCGACGTGGCTCTTGTAGGACAGTGGAGATTGGGTTTGAGAGTAACAAAAGAAAAAAGGACGGGAGCTATGCGACGGCAGGCATAAGCTACCATGAATGACTATTGTTATTTGAAGGGGTCGAATGGAGTGTAGAAAAGATGGAAGCGGCAGACGAGAGCTGATGGTGCCGCGCCATCGATGTTTATGATTGTAAGGATGCGTTAAGGTGCGTAAGCGGCAAGCGTCAAAGGGTAAAAGTCGACAAAGTGCATGAAAACTGCGCATTATTTCACAGCCGTTGGCCCACTGACAGCGGGTAAGTGCTCGACGAACGGATGCTCTCAACGGGACCAAACAAGTTCCGAGTAAAAGCCGCTGTTCGCTAGCATATTGAAACGAATGAACAGTCTAGAAGGACAAATGGACTTCCGCAAAGTCCTATATGCGAATAAAATTATCCGTGCGCATTGCATAAGTAATGCGCTAGACACATTTATGCTAATGAAAATGTCTTCATAATTGTGCTAGTTTCTAACCATTGGCGGCATTTTCATCATTATGGCTGAGATCTTCTCAAGTAGAAAAGCAAGTTACATATTAACTAATGTCCTCTCCTTTAAGTATGGAAAACATTTCACTCCGTCCGACAAGTGAACATTTGATGGTATA